TGTTAAGGCAGAATCCAAAATTGTCATCTTTTCATCACTTCTCCTTTAGGGCACTAGGGTGATTTCCCTGTACTAGTATCTTCATAATTTGCTTCAGTGACACTTGTTGTCTTGTGTTTTCTCATTCCCACAGTTACCTGTTAGCTACCATGAAAGCTTACTGTGTTCTTCACCATTCTCTTAAAGCCCATAGTAGTTTTTAACTTACCAAGTTTCCTGTTCTGTAAGAAGCTCCTAACCCCATTTTGACTATTTGTAAAGATGATTTGCTTTCACTCTAAGCTTCTTAATCTTAAAATCCCAATCCCCTCTTACTTATGCATAATATAAATGTTTGAATTTTAGATTTCCTCTATAAATAGTACTATGTTATGCTTACACATAATGTCTGCCTTTTATAAACTTTGAAAGTACAAATTGTAAACATTAACTTCATTCTGCACAGCACTGAGCACAATGTTGTGATCACTTAAATGCTTTTGATGATGAAGGTGAAGATGGTAATGACACGTAATGCTGTTCTGGTTTGAAAATAGCACAAAGGTAGTCCAGCACACCCTTTTCTTTTTTCTTTCTCTTTTTTTTTTTTTTCCGGAATATGAGTTGTTCCTCATTCAGTAAAGCTGTCACTCTTCATTAGCAAAAAGGGTTACAGTAAGTTATAATTAGTGTTTAGTGCCCTGTCAAATAATTAAGTATAATAAAAAGCTTTCAATGAGTTTAATGTTAACATGGTATAATTAAAGCCACGTCTTGAAATGCATTAGGTGTCTATTATGTCAGATATTTGATGCTTTTCCCTTCTGCAGATGAGATTTTCAAATTGTGCTTAGAGTAATGTCATCATCAAAGACAAAAACTCACATGACTCAGATGCCAAATGGGCTTTGTGGTGCTCAGCAAGGGCAATATTCAGAAAACCAAATCGCTTGAATTTAGTGATAGGGAAATGGAGTCCCAAAGATACTGTGTGACTTGCCCAAGGTTACACACTGTTGAGTCTTCCTTGAAAGTGAGCACTGACCTTCAGTGTTGTACTGAAGTGATTGTTATTATGGTCATTATTTCTCTCTGCAGTATGCAATGTTTCTTGGAAAATGCTCATTTTGTCTTTGTCTTGATGGGGTGAAAAACTACGCAAAGTAAAAACATAGTTTTGTACGTAGTTCTTGGATTTAAGTGGTTTTAGGATGCCATAATGCCCATTTGAAGGCTCAAATACAAAGACAAGGCTTGAATCTCACTATTTTCTCATCAGAGTAACTGGAATGTGCCTAGATACTGGGCCATTTTCTAATCCTGCATTCTTGGAGCTAGTCTCAGGCCTTCTCTTGTACATATCCTATGATCTTCTCTATCCACAGATTTGGAAAAATCAGCAGAGTGTAAGTAGCCCCTAAAATAAAGGCGTCATTCAAGGAACAAAGAAGTAGAAGGAGGGCTCCAATTAAAATGATGAAAATCTTTAATTTTTATTTAGGTATACTTGTACGGACACGTGTATATACAAATACAGATTGTATGGGTTGGTTTGTGTGTGGGTTTTTTTTTTTTTTTTTTTTACATTTTTTTTTTCTTAACGTTTATATAATGTCAGCATTTCAAAACAGCACTCGATGAGTAAGTGCAAAGGAACTGCAAAGCAGGGCAGTACAAGCACAAGACCACACGGAGCTGGACTTCACACCCAGACGCACACAACAATGAGTGGCTGCAATGGGGTGTCAAGAGTAAGCATGGAAAGTGAATTTTGACTCATGGGTAACCTCCAACATGCCAGCATCTATTACTCTGTACAGACAATGGGAGCAAGCCCACTGTAGGGAGATTTGTCTCACATTTGAGCAGCTCTTGGGCAAATGCATGGGAAAAACTCAGTGTTGCCAAACCAAAAACAGACCTGCCCATTCACGGTTCTGAGGGAAAATAAAATGTGGGAGGAAGGCAAGAAGACAAAAAAAAAAAAAAAAAAATAGTAAACAAAATAAAGGGGGGGGGTGGCGGTAGGCAAACGGGGGTCTTGGTGGAGGTGGTTTTCAAAAGAAAAATGACTGACCAGAGCTCTGAAAGCAATGAATGGAGGGGAGTTGAAATGGTTTAATTAATTTGGGGTGAACTCCTAAAAATGGCTGCTGCCGTTGCTAAGGCACCAGAGGAAAACAAAGTCCCTGAAAATCCACAGGTACTGTGCGACTCTTCCTTTCACAATGGCAGAGGGGAACTGCCCCTACTTAACCTTCCTAAATGGACTGGCTTGAAACATTTCCCATGCTTGGGCCGCGCGTGATACTGGCATCTCTTCCTGAGGAAAAATGAAACCGTCTATGAAAACCACCACAAACAGAAAACCAAAACAAAGTACAGAACTCTGTTACCAAATTCCCTAAACCTTTTTAAACCAACATGCCAGGGGAGGAAAACTACACCACAGGGTTCCCAACATCAGACCTTGAAAACACTGAGGATAAAATATGGATCAAAAATTCATGTTGTTCCTGGTCCCAAGATGGTGGAGTCCTAACGACTGGGAGGGCGATGACCGCACATGAGTCCTGTATGGAGCACGGTCACAGCCATTTGTGACTCTTCTCAGCTACGTATACAGTGGATGTTTCAAAGCCTCAATGCATGTTTTGTATCCTGAAAGACTATTGTTTTCACTTACAAAAGACATAAGAATCAAATTAATACTTTATTATCAAACACTATATACAACAGAGGTCGCTAATAATACAGAATTTAAAGAACGCAGTTTTTTTTTTAATGTTTTACTTTTCTTTCCTCTGCCACCCAAGAAAGTACAGTACAAAACAATAGTCTAAACTAACACGAACTGTTACCTGGTCTATTAAAGGATACACGGTATCCACTAAACAGACAGATCCTTATTTCCCTGCTTCATGTTGCAAAGCCCTTGGCAACCAGGGGCAAAGGTCGCTGGGGTTTGACTTACTGGGGCTGAGAGGCAGCTAAGGCCACCCTTCAGACTTTTGAGTTGTTGTTTTTGTTGTCTTTAAATTAAAAGCTGCTACAAAATTGCATCGACATCCTCCTAAGCCCCCAGAGGGTTGTAACACCACCATAACAAGGCCACCAGCAATTTCTGGACAAGATGAAAACTGTCTGATACCCATCATTTTCTTGGAAACTCCGTGGCAAGCGTTACCTACAATTACATCACTTAAAGGTAGAGAAGCACACTGTCTACTGGTGTGGATAGTCTTGCTTTTTTTTTTTTTTCGTTTTTAAACTTAATTTGTAGTGGCATAATGAAATAAAGGGGTCTAATTTCACTGTGAAAAATGAAAGACAGTGGCAGAGAGGGCCATGAGTAATTATCATTTGTTAGAGACAAATGCTAGCAAAACCACAGAAGTCACCATTTCTAAAATGAAATTAGCACTGCTAATGTAGTTATGACTAACTGGAATCATTACAGGATCATTTGATTTCCTTGTGGTTATAGAACATGCAGTATTATTTTGGTTCTGACTATTGATCCATTTTAGCAGGTATCTTCCCCCCACCCCCACTCCAATCCCACTGGACCAACAAACCTGTAACTATTAATAAAACGAAGTATTACTGGATATTACTGAGAGTACTGAGCATATAAAGAGTTAAAGGAAAAAAAGAATCCAATGCTGTGAACTTTTGTTTCAGTGAAATGGTGGCTGCCTTCTGTGACAAGACTCTGCCACTCCAGAGAAGTTCCTGATGTCTGGGGGAGCAGCACTGATTGTGTCTGTGAGGCTGGCAACCCCACTCCCATGGTTCCAAGTGTGAAGAGACCCAGCAGTAACATCCATTCCAAATGGATCAGGTAAGCCCAGATTACATTTCAACATGTGTACAACTCTCCAGGGTGCAAGTCCCTTTACAGCTGCCTTTCATTCACACATTTTTCTAATTCAGAACTAATCACAATTCGTAGCAAATTCCCACTCATGAAGTCTGGCCAGAATACGACCCCTCTCTTTTTTCACACAGACATTAAAAAACAAAAACAAAAAAAAACAAATATGTCTATTTTTTTTTCAAATATGTCTATTTTTAAAAAAACTTATTTTGCCGGAATGCTTCCAATTTTTTCCTATATCACATAATCATTGGACTTATTCTTCGTTCTGTTCTGAAAGGCATGGCTCCTGTTGACATGTCGTGCACTAGTAAAGGCTAGATTTCTTTTCCGTTGGTCTGACTTTTCCCTGTCTAGGCTTTTGGAGTTCAAAGTTTGTGACAGCCTCACCAGTAGTAACCCCCAAGGCTTGTATTTCCTGTAATCAACTGGAAATGGCCCTTGTTGGCCATGCTAAGACTCCTCAAACAGGGTCATCTTGCGTTTTCTCCTTCTGCCCCACCCCCCACAATGAAACAAGATAGCCCCCTATATTTCTAAATGTATCAAGGGATACCACTTTTTTTTCTCACAAGTTTAAATAGGACAAGCATATATACTCACTCTCAGCATAAAGTATATCTAAATAATGTATTTTCTATTCTAGTGGATTTTTAAAAAAATATTTTGTTAAAGTCTTTGGGACTCCATCTTGTTTATCTCCCACAGATAAACACATGTTCCCCCTATGCTTCAGGCTGTGTCAGAAAGGGAAAGAATATAAAATCAACACTTGAATTTTTTATTCCAAACTTTGGAATTTTTATTCCAAATTTCCCTTTAGCCCTCCCAAGTAGTGCTGACTGACTCTCCTGGTGACAGGGGTGTGCGTCGAGCCCCTGTAGTTGTGGAGTGTGGAGCAAAACATGGGTACTAGGGTGGGAGTCGGGGAAAGGCCACAGCACATTGGCGCTCCAGCAAAGCCAAATCACATCTCCTCTGGCCGCTGACCTCCTTTCCTTGGTACATATTGTCCCCCAGAGGAGTATCCAAAGCTATTCCATTATACACTCATCAACCCTGGCTTGTCAGCCTTGGGGAAGGTCACTTTATTCATAAAAATGCCTCTTTGAGTTTCTTTAAAAAAAAAAAAAAACAAAACTGTAGCACCATGGTGATCTGTATTCCAAGGGAAAAAAAAAACCTGGTGTGCATTGCCCAGTCACCAAAAAAATTAGAGGCACTCACACGTACACACCCCCACCAAACCTAGTTAACTCTCTTTTCACCCTTGCTCTGTGCTAGCTAGCATTCCCGCACCCGACCTGTTTTCTAGGGGGACAAAAAAAGGCTTCTTTCGTGGAGCACAAGTTTTGCTGTCAAGAGTGCTTTAAGACAGTCATTGTAAAAAATAACCCCAAAAAACAAAAACAAAACCAAAAAACCAGTGTCTCAACCTTTTAGAAGCCTGTTCATTTATATACTCCTAGAGGAAAGGGTATAATATTAGATCTGTTCTTAATACCTCCCCTCTGGACTTGACATGGCGACACGATGCCCTGCACGATCATCTTACAGTCCTGAACGAGAAGGCATAAATATTGGATGGGAGAGTAAAACCCTCCTGGGCATTGCCATCACTAGCCGCATCTGCCGCTATTCTTCCTTGTCCGTATACTGCCGTCACAGTACGCTAACGGAGGTGGGCTCTTAGAGGAGAATGCACAGGCGCTGACGACCACTGGTGTCACTATGACAATTTGGCATTTTCATCTGGAGTCCATTTAATTTGGAAGGGATGAGAGAAGTCAAGGGCAAAGGCTGGGGGTTGGGGGCAGGGCAGGGGAGCAGCAACTACTTTAGCCCCTCCTGGCCCGGAGTTGTTGCTTAGAATTCAGGCTGAAAGAAAGAAAACAAAAATCTGACATCTGCCAAAAAACCAATAACAAGTCCCTTCTTAGGATGAGCAGTTAGGTGGATCTCTGGTGTTCCAAGACCCTAATGCTTTTCTGTGACAGGTGACGGGAGGAGACTGTGCTATAACGTCAAGAGCATCGCCAGGAGGAACAGTAGGATTGCCAAAAGGCGGCTGGGTATCCTTGGTGTTTGTGCTGCGTTCTCACCGCGGGATGGCTCGGCTGATTCATGTACGGTGTCATCTGTTCAAATAGAAAGCACACATTCCAATGAGATTTCACACCCTTCATAACCCTCTTGCAGCAGCCTGCTGTTAACAGCCCTCGCCACCCTCTGCAAAGTAGGGTAATGAACCTTGTGCCACCATTGACTTTCATGTCTGCATAATCACTCATTATTTACAGCAAACAAAGGAGAAGCAGAGAAAATTGGACTTTTTCGGCAATATTATTACGTTCTTTAAAAACGGAGAGGAAAAACTGTACACATACCGTAGCCTTTGGTATGTGAACTACTTTGGTTTGCTAGCAGACACACCTTGCACGCAGCTGAGATAGCTGAATATCTCCTGTCAACCCAGGATGCCACGGAGAAGCAAGGGACGTGGGGTGGGGGGGGTGTTTAGTTACATTGGCAGGTTAGTGGTTGATCAGTGGTTCCTCTTTTCTCCTATTTCATAGGATTAGTATTGAATGCTATGTGGTTGGTCACCTCCAAGAATTTTCAAGGAAGAAAAATGAAACGCCAAAACTGCATTACTTATTATTTATTTATTTGCCAGAACTGCATTTTCAATTAACTATATGTAATGCCCACTAGACCTCCTGATCTGCATGATTAAGAGGCTTAACTTTGAAACAGGAACTCTGCGGCAATTAGTACCCCAAGATAGACGAGAAGCTTGCCTACCCGCCAGGCTTTGCTTGAGTGTTGCCTGTCTTCTTCCTTCCTCCTGGCTTAACTTGTCCTTTCCGACTACGTGTTCTCTGAACTACGTATTCTTGGGGCCCAGGAGTGGGGTTTGGTGGTAGATCAGGGGACCTTCCTGTAAAAGCTCAGAGACTGTCATCTTGCATTCACTAAACGGTCCATCAGAGAGTGGAGACAAGTGAGACTCGTGATGTTCCTCAGTTTTGTAGACCTCAAAGGATAATCCCTAAGTCTCCCTGCATGACCCACTGAGAACCCCTTCACGGACCGTTGGGTTCAAACTCATTTATATCTTCACACCAAACGTCACAATAAGGATGCTTTCTTTTTCACTACGTATTGTCACACTCCCTATTCTTTGTCTGAAACTGACCACTTTTCAGGCACAGGGGCCCCTGCTTCCGATATGCGCAGGTAGGCTGTTTCTGTTCTTGACCTCCGTTCCCAACATGAGCTGAGCGATCTACTGCTCCATGTTAAGGCTTCTGCCCTGGAGGGCTCTTATCATTTGAGCCCGTCCTCACGTAGGAGCTGCTGCCTTCCTGTGTCAGATTTGCTCTCCTCCCCTGGACCTGAGCTAACCTGCGTGGAGTGGCGGTTGTCTTAAAAAAACTAGAGAAGGTTAGGAAGCAATGCAAAGTTAAACCGATGCAGAGGAGAAACTATAAAGACCCCCTCCCCCCCGCCATGGTGCCAACTACTTGTGGACGCTTCCCTCTGTTCTTCAGCCTGGCAAATGTATTACACCTGTAGTTAACAGGAATTAGACATAAATGCCCTGAATAGCCCTGAAATTAAAATCCTAATCACCTTAAGAGCATCGATACGTTGTCAATCAGGATATTAGAGCACTTTGGGTTTAATTTGTAAAAACCATAAACCCTGAGGCTTACAGATATCATTTTGAAATACCATTTATATTTATACACCTGAAATTACACCAGCTCTTGGGTTCTTCTCCGTCTTATTTTTACTACCAAATTACCCAATCCTCTTCCTTGTAAAGTCTAGATGTGTACTGATAAAAGGTACTCTAGTCATGAATAGGTACTCAGGTGAACTGGAGGGAGAGCTGCCCTCTCTGTCCTTCCAGGATGCTCAGCAAGGGCCAGCCAGTGCTCCTGGCAGCACCAGACAGAGTCAGTGACCTTGCGGGACACTGAGAGGAGGAAAGCTTTTGTTTTTCATACAAGTGAAGCATGAGGTTACATGTCCTTCTCAGGCTTCTAATCATGGATGATTTTGGGGAGTAACTCTTTTCTAAGCAACCAACCTGTAAATATCATTTTACCCTCAAAGGGGGAAATCTGTCCCACTAGGACCACACAGTTCTTCTCTGCTCTCTGTAACATGGTGGTCCTGGCTCAGGATTCTACCAAGCATCCTTTGATTCTAATAGGGCCTCAATGTTGGAAGATTCTACAGCCCCTGAGAAGCAAAATGAGAAACTGGCTGTCATTGGGTAAATCTGAGCAATTTCAGAATTCTAAGGAAGAATTCATAAGCAAATTCTGTTCCAGTGGAAATGACATCGAACCATCAGAGACTTCCTAAGACTCCCGATGGTAAATGTGGCTTGAAGGAAGAAGATGTTCCTCCTCAGAAACCAAATCGAGTCTTGCCTCCCGCCTCCAGGATTCCACAGTCTGAGGGTTTCTATGGTTAACTGAGAGAACACTAGCGATATTTTGGAACATGTTATGTGGCATATGTCCGCCCTAAGATCATCCTGTATCCCTGATGATAGGAAACTGGCAGGCAGAGTGTGCAAGCAAACAAAAAAGACAAATACATTCCAAAGACAGGTGAGTTAGTACACATTGCCGAGAACATGCAGTGGAATCCTTTCAGGCTTTCCGGATTCGTAAAGTCTAGCTCTGTACTCCACCGTCCACCACAGTGGTGTAAAGCCGCATGTCGGTCTGGATTTTGTGAGGAATAAGACAAAGTACTCAAACTTATTATTGCATTCCTAGCTCAACCCTGTCTTACTTTTTAAGTGAAGATGCTCACAAGAAAGCCCTTAAGTACACTCTTGACTGACGGGAGGAGCCTGTGCACCGGCATTTCCACTCCCCAGCGCGCACACACCACATTCTGTCGGACTGCCGCAAACTTCCTTCAGTTCTGTGTGCCTCAATTTGGGAGCCATCAAGGATTTTTAAATGCTCAGGGAAAAAGAGCCCATTTCCCCCAAAGACCGTGACCTATGCTCGCATTTATGAATGTATCTTAGTATCTTGCATTTTATCGTTAGTTGAATTCAAAGGTAATTTTCCTAATGTCAGAATAGTCCTAAGTGTATCTCTTGATGACCAAGAAAAACATGCATTCTGTTGTTTCTAAACAGCCTCTTGTTTTCTTGATAGGCAATGGAATGTACCTGGAGAAAAGATTATTGGAAAGATATGCCTACATTCTACCACAACTTGCATTAAAAAATGGTAATTCAGGATAACTTACATTTACAACGTGCCTAACTCTGTCTGGCATTCTGCAACATGACTTATTAACCTTTCCAATAGAGTAAGGTTCACTTTATGAAGATCTGCGTGTCTACTATTGGTAAGAGCATCCTCCTTTTCTATTCACGTTGGAATGGGGGTTGAGAAATTTGAATATTAAACCCGGATCAGTCTCTACTACTGAAGAGGCCTGGGCAAGTCTCAGTTATCAAGGGGAGAGTGTAGACTCTGTGGTCCTTAGAAGAGAGCCTATCTAACTCAAAGATCCTAGCATGATGGGGCAAGTCCTCAAGTTTGGGAGGAGTCTGGTACCTTGAAGAGCCCTAGGAATGCTTCCAGATTTTCAGGACTCCATTAAAGTATCTCCAGGTCAGCACTCATTCCTTGCAACTTTCTAAAGCAGCTAACTGATCCCTAGGGAGCCAAGAGGGCCTCTCAGAGCTTTATCGTACACACTTACCATTTGTGCTGGGGTAAGATGCCTGCCTTAGGTTTTTTTCCCAAGCATTCTTGTTTTTCTAACTCTTCCTGTCAGTTACAGTGCGAAAGCTATTGTATGTCCTGAGGCACTGCATTTACTCCGGTTAAGTTTCCCTAAGGCTCACTGACTGTGTCCTAGTAACAATACTCAAAAGATAAAGTGGACTTCACAACCCTTTAATTTTTAGGGCCATAAAAAAGAAGTGCTGCTACAAATAGATTTTTAAAAAGTCTCTGTTCGCATAAGGTTGGGGGAGGGGGGTCACATCTTTCTGTGAAGAAGAAATCATTTTAATTCCATTAAGCTTTGAGATGGTAGCGGGAATTGGATAAGGAAACCAGTAAGATCTCAAGCAGGTAGGGCAAGAGAGGAAACCAGAGCAAGTAGGTATACAGGGTACACAGTCAAGAGGTACACAGTCCTCAGTGCACAGTGGATAGAGAACTCCTATTCCTCAAAATCAGTCTTGTTGAATTTATATCCAAATGGATAGTATACCGGACCACTTCCCCCACAGTACACTACAGTGTAAATGTTTCGACGAGTGCTTGTGTGGGTTTTATGTTTCTTCAATGACAGGAAATTCTGGGTGTGTGGGACGTAGCAGTAGGAAAAAAAATTTTCTCCTCAATACTTTTTTTTTTGCCTCAGCAGTCAAGGATCACAGACTACTGCTCCATTTGTGGGAGTAACAAGTGTGTGAATCTGTGGTGTCAGGCGACATGACTGTACTTCTCCAGACCAACTGCTATTGATATCAATAGCACAAGTAATATCTGAACTGTAATAAAGGTCTTTAGATCAGTGATGCATGTAAACTGCCAGAGAAAATTAAATATGTTGAATTAGCTGCCGTTTGGGGCAATAGTCTTACTTTTAGCCACAGATTTGGACATAATATAAAAAATGTTTTTAAGCATATACAGTAGAATTTTTTTTTTCTGTCTTCTATGAAAACAGATCCGTTAATATTCAGTGATCCACCAGCATGCTCGGAGGATATGGTAAAAAGTAGCGAGATTTAGCATTCTGATGGGGCTTCTATATTAGGATACTGCATTATATCAAACCCATGTCCAAAAAAGAAAGACCATATTTTATCTAACATGCATTAGACAAAGATACTGGAGGAATGAGGGAGAATATAAGTAAGATTAGCGTCGCTAGCAATGAGCAAAAGCAGAGCAACTGTAACATGCAAACATGCGGAGAAGAAGAAAGGAAAAAAGTACGGAAGCACCAGAGAGAGATGCATTTGTTAAAAGAGAGTCTCTAAGCATACTAACCTGCTGGTTCTAATGAATTTTCTACTTTGTCGTTAACATCGAAAACACGATCATGAACACCTATAGTTTTCATACAGCTATCTATAACAAAAATAGAGATAACAGCCAAATATGTTAGTGAAGACACCCTTAAACTCCCATTTCTTTCTTTTTTTTTCTTTCTCTCTATTGTCTCCTTTAATTTATGCAGAGATTGTTTTACAATCAATGGCATGTGTCCAAATGCCAATATTGTTCCCATTTGCGGTGCACGTACAACAGTCTAAGAAACAACAAGTTAGCAACTGCTGTGTACTTCAAAATAAAAGCATCATGAAGAATGATGAGAAAAAATATGATGAAAACGAAAACATGGATGCTGATATACAAAACAGGTACCACACAGGATTTAACAGTAAAAAAAAGTTGTACCGCGGTGAACCAAACCACACGATCAAGCATGCGCAGTGAAGCCACCCTCTGAAGCTCATTCTAGTCAACTTACTTGTTGGTCTCACAAAGACTTTGAGCTTTAGACAGGACCTTCTGCCGTTATCTGGGATTGCAGAGGCTGTGGAGGAGACAAAAAGAGAGAGAAAGGAGAGAGCAACAGCAGATTATTCTTCATTTTCAAATGCAAATGTTCTACAAGACATTCTTTGCTGAACAACAGCAGCATACTCTGGGAAAAATTAGAGGTTAAAACAAAAGCACCCTTCAGATTGATAGATACTGCTAGAACGGGCTACTTTCCTATCCCCGGCTTTTCTTTTCAATACAGTACAAACTCATGCAAGAATGTTGGTATAATCTACAGAAAAATGCTTGGGATTTTTATTTCAAAGGCTCTTCCATTCAACTTGATCTGCTATCAATTTTCTTGAAAATAAGAAGATAATGCTCGAGCCCTCCGGCTGTCAGAGAGCTCGCTACTCCCCGTCTCCTGCAGGAAAAGGGGCCCAAGGTGAAAAGTGCCGGCAAAAACCAGTAACAAATAGTTACAAGGCCAACTTAAACATGACCTATTTTTGCTGGGGAAAGCAAAGCTTTGTCTGTCCTGAAAGCCTGTCTGTCAGTGCTTTGCAGGTAATTCAATTAGAGGTTTTACTCAGAACTTGGCTCTGCGTTCTATATGACTACACCGAGCCCAGCAACTTCCATCATGCTATTATAAGTACAATATGCTATTGAGAAAGCACTACGGTGCAATGGTACATTTATTTTTAAAAATTTGCCACAGAGAAGGATGGAAGTAATAAAGTGGGCTTACCAAAACATGACAACATGTTTCAAGTTATAATTCATTTGAGGAAGAAACTTTCCTTCTCTTCAAGATAATAAGACTGTAAACTTTCTCGGTGCTGGAAGGATTATCTCCCCTCAGTACACACAGCATAACGTCAAAGGGATTTCGAAGGGCGGTACGTTTCCTAACACATTCTAGAAATGACAAAAATGATAAAGGAGTGCTGCATACTTTCGTCCCTGTGTGTTTGCTTCAAGTGGTTTCTTCAGAAAATGCAGCTGATAACAATGAAAACTCGCATGGCTTACAGGGAGCTTGGTGAGTCCCTCAGTGACCAAGACAGGACCCCTGTTTGGTACGCTTTCTCTCTCCTTTATTTTTATCTTTTATTAGTCCTCATGGGAGACCAGACGAGGAAAATGCTTATATCTTAGGTGAGGGGATTCAAGATGCAAACTTCAAACTAATTTTACATGAATCTCCTCCGGAAACTCCAAGATCCCTGTGCTGGGAAACTTATACGTTCACAACCTAAAAGATATCAAGCTGTAAAAGACCCCAAGTCTCACTTGCAACACCTGTTGCAACCCCTTAATTCTAAGACTAAAGTATACAGAAAAGAGGTTTTTGTCCCTCCCTTCCCCTTCTCCCCTCTGAAAAGCAGTTAAGAAGTGCTAACAGCTGGCTTTGCTGTAGGCTTTCATTAAATCAAAGTCGGGAAAACTCCCTCTACTGACATTTACAGTAACTAGTGTGTTATTTAGGGCACTGTATTTGCACTCTGTGGTTCGATCCAGGAAATGGTGTCCTTCCTGTGGACCCCGACTGCAAATGTGCATGTCACAAACACAGTACACATAGGTGACTCCAATTCATTAGGAAAACCATGACTCTTGAGATAGTTTGTCTCATTCTTCACAAGAGGTGGTGTGAAAAAGTGACACATGGATATTTACATTGCCATTCTGTGGATTGCTGAGCTGAGCTGAGCTCCCTAGGAGCTTGAGCCTCGTGCATGAACTTGATTCGCCACATGCAAGAATGGATTGTACCAAAGATACTGCACGATTACAGGAGGCTCACGGCAGCATCAAGAATTTAATTGTTTTAGTGGGGGAAATACTTGGGAGTTTGCCCGGGTCTTTCAGATTTATATGCAGCAGAAATCCTGTAAATCCAGGACACAAAAATCATTGTAGGGCGCACTGGAATAAAAATAGCAACAAATGATAAGTTCTCTTTAGGAAAAACTGCGAAGAGTTCTCTCACCAGCTCTAAGAGATGGACAGTTAGCCTCAGCTACAGGCTGCTTACGTACTTCTGTAAATTAAGATAATAAAATACATGTATGAATACATATTTTACTTAAATAAACTATCTTCCCTATCTAACTTCTCCATGACTTCTCCTCGCCTATCACCAGAAAAGCTTTAACAATAACGTGACACTTTATACTGTGTGACTTTTATACTCTAAATCTTAAAAAAACTGATGAACAAAAAATGAAAACATTCACTGTGAGTACACAGTGCAGATGACATTAAATCAGTTAACTCCACAACCTCTGGGCTAAGCTTGTGAAATCAATTCTTAACCTTACAGCTAACTTGAGTGGGTAGGCTAGGCCAGGTCAGTATAACTTGGGTTCCTCATTTACTACCCTGAGAAACAGAAGTCAAACCAAAAAGCACAACAACTTTTCATGCAAGATTTTAAAAAGTAAGAGTCTGGCTTTGTTCCATGTATGTTCCAGGTTTCTTAACACCAGACCTCCTGCATGACAGATGTGGGATGCCTTTATACTATGAACAGAATGCTGAGGATTACTAATTAGTAATATTTGTAGATATAAAGTAATCTTAAAAGGGCTTTACCAGTCACAAGTAAACAAAAAAGCAGTGGACTGAGCATTAAGAACATCAAATGACAGAGGAATTGAAAAATATAACCATCACACAAGTGAAGTTACAAAGAAAATCCTCTCAGAATCAATTAGCAAAAAAAAAAAAAAGAAAGAAAGAAAGAATGAGCCACTGATGGACACGAGGGAGTAGAAACTAAAAATGTGCCTGGCTTGTCTCCGGAGTGTAGATAATATTGATCCCTATAGTTCTAGAGCCACACCAGTTTATATGACCAACATATCTTAGTTAAAACAAGTTTTATAACTTCTTATGCTATTTTCCTTAGAAAATTAATTACTAACCGCTTCATCCATCCATTCAAAAGCTTTAAAATTCCTACTATGTGCCAGCTTCCCGGATAGGCACCAGGAATGCACAAGTGTGTCAGATGCATAGTCAGACGCACACGAGGGATCGTGGTGATAACTGAGGTCTGCATGAACTCCCAACAGGGCTTTGGACATGGACTTGGCTGGGTCCGGGAGGGGGAGGATGTCCCAGACATGTCTATCAGAGGGAATTTTATCGAGGCTTTACAGAGCCTGCAGAAGCAACTGGGACAAAAGAACATTTCCTCTCTCAGTTCCCACACTGGAGCGTGAGCAACCAAAATGACGTGTTAACCTGCAACAGGTGAAGAAAACCTAGACTTGAACTCTTCCCATAAATATGCATGGATTTTATAAGAGAAATTGTCAAATTAAAATGTGAAATGCAACTCCTGTCTTAGCCATTTGTCTCATAATCCAAATCCATTTCCCTTTATTCAGTTTACTGCTGAAAATGTACATTAGGAGTCCGGAAGCTGGGAGCAGGGGCACGGGACCATTAACACAAGTACAACCTCCCATTCCATGATCTTAATAGCAACTTCATAAATCAAACCACAGGGTCCCTTCCCCTTAATGATCCACAAAGTACCAATCAAAACCTTACAACACATAATAAAATACAAGCTGAGGGCTCTCTGGTCTCTGTATTTAGAGTATCATGTAATAAGGCCATGGGGACTTCTTATCCTCACTCTGTTCCATGACCTCAGACAGGCGCCCCGACTCCAGCCATTCCTGAAAACCTCTTTCCTTGGTCTCCTGGGGCCCAGGTAAGCTCAGCTCAGCACTTATCAGCCAGTCTGATACATAAAGGGGACCACATTCCATACCCCCCAAATCAGTACTTCCATCACCTATATTTAGGGTTGTGAATATCCACAATATTCACATCACAGTTCACTGGGTTATCAGTAGGATGTGGCAAGCAAATAAAGGCACCATGCTTTTGATAGGTAGCTTCTGACCTGCCTCCCATTACCCTCACTTGAGTGTGGGCTGGACCTAGTTTTTTCCTTCTAATGAGTAGCATATGGCCAATGTGACAGAATGTCATTTCTGTGATTAGGCTGCAAAAGACTGGGACTTCTTTCTTTTAAAAAGATCTTATTTGACAGAGATCACAAGTAGGCAGAGAGGCAGGCAGAGAGAGAGGAAGGGAAGCAGGCTCCCTGCTGAGCAGAGAGCCCAATGTGGGGCTCTATCCTAGGACCCTGTGACCATGACCTGGGCCGTAGGCAGAGGCTTTAACCCACTGAGCCACCCAGGCGCCCCGGGACTGCTTTCTTGCTAGCACTCGCTCTCTTGCCATCTCTTTTGCTCATGGAGCAAAAGCGTGAGACTCTCAGTGCTGGGGGCTCGTGGCAAGGAATGGAGGGAGACTTCCAGCCAAGCGTGAGCAAGAGACTGGATTGGCTAACATCTGGTGAGTAAACCAGAAACTGAATGCTTTTCCTTTAAAAGACTGTCACCTTGTGGGAGACCCAGACCCAGAAGACCCAGCTAAACTACCCTGGATCCCTGACCCACAGGAACTGTGAACGCTAAATGTCTTAGCCCCACATTTGGGGGTAATTTGTAATCCAACAGCTAAATAATACAATGCTGTACAAAAACACCTCTGTGCCACCAAAGGCTTCCCATGGCCAACATGAGGCAGACCTAAGAACTAAGGCACTGGGGCATGCTCTCAGAAGGATTGCCAGGCCCTGGTTCCCACGGGGCAGCTCCTTCCTTGGTCCGCCACCATGTCTACACAACTGGATTGCTTGCCAGTTTATTTTTCAAGCTACTGTTCTAAGTTCACTTAAAATAGGGCTTGAAGAGAAGTAATTATAAACTGCTGTTGAAGAAATACTACAAGATGTATCTATTTGTTTTCACTCCAGCACTTGAAAACGGTTTTTCATTTTCCTTCCCATGCCACTTAGTTTGTTTTGGCTAATGCGGCCAACCTGTGCTGCTCTGTGCAATTATCACGATGTCTCACTTTAACTCCAAATTGCTGGGTGAACCTAAATGAGCTTTGATAGAAAATGTAAACTTAAATCGTAAGACAGAATGCCCTTCCTCTAACAGGAGACAGAGAATG